GTCTGATGCAATGTCTCGCTCGCTGGTGACTGTGAGGATGAAGCAGGGCAGAGCCGTGCAGACAGGCAGGCGGGGCAGGGGAGCCGGGCGCTGGGGGAGCAGACTGCGCCCCACGGCACGGAGAACGCGCGTTGCCATCACAGAGCCTGGGGCTGGGTCTCAGGCCCTCTGTGGCGGGGCCTTGGCTGTCCCCAGCTTGGAGCTCATGTCCTTCTCCATCAAGTCAGCAAGAGCACACTTGCCTGGCACGGGTGCTGCCAGGGCCCCCTTGGCGGAATGGGGGTCCTGGTACACGGCACTCCCACCCTCTGGACTTGCGTCTGCCCTTGGGATTGAAGCCAGCTCCTTCCTCAGCCCTGGTCCTCGCCCTGAGGGTGTGAGATGATTTTAAGGGAGGAGCGTGTGCACGGATTGCCCGAAACACCCCTCGCCCTGGGCAGGCCCCCTTTCCCCCCCTCCGCCCCCCCAGCACCTGGCTGAGGGCTGTGGCCACTCGATTTTCCACTTGGTTCAGAGCTGTCAGGGGATTGGAGGGGTGAGAGTTATGGGGATGTGGCCCCCACCCCACAGAGACCCGCTCCCAGCCCTGCTGAAAGTCTGATTCTCAGTGGCCCCAATGCCCCTGTTGTGCCCTTTGCTTCTGACTTTAGAGGTTCAAGCCCCTCCTCCCCCCTGTCCACCCCTCAGGCAGGGTCTGACATCTGTGCACCAACAGGCCAGGACTCAGAGAAACAGGTAAGGTGTTTACTCATTTATTCATCCTCAGCAGACATTTATAAGGCAGCTACTGTGCGGTGGGAGCTGCAACAGGCCCTTGCTCACCTGGAGCTCAGTCTAGTGCTAGTCCTATACCCGGGCAAGGACAATACCATGGAACACGCTATGGGAACCCAGAGCAAGCAATAAGCGGGGGCGGGGGGCTTCCTGGAGGAGGTGCAGACTGAGCTGAGCCTGACAGGGGGTGAGAGGAGGTGTTCTTTAGAGAAGTGCATGTGTGGAAAGACACACACATTGACATGGTGTCCGCAAGGAGAGGGTACAGGCAAGGGGTTCGCCTTAGCACAGCAGTCAGGCCCCGGGCCATGGTCCCTGCTGCCTCTGTGGTCCCTGTCCTGCCACTTCTAACCATTATACCTGGATTGCAATGATTTGTGTCTATCTCATTCCCAGAAGGACTGGGTGTCTTTCCTCATTCCATTTCCCAATGCTTCACACAGGGCCTGCATACAGTAGGTGCTCAGTGATGCTGTGCCCAGTAGTCCTCCCCTGTTTGCATCGCCCCCGAGGCTGAGCTGTGTGCTCCCTCCTTTGTGCTCCTACAGCATTCGATACGCGAGAGTTCACGTTGCTACAGCACTTTTCCATATATCAATATGTTTGATGCTTACACAAGCCCTGTGCAAAAAGTGTCATTATTGTCATCATCATCACCTGCCAGGAGGCAGCACATCATTGTGGTTTAGGTATGTGGGTTCTGCAGCTGGACTGCTTGGCTGTGTGACCCTGAACAAGTTGCTTACCCTCTCTGTGCTTCAAGGTCTCCATTTGTAAGATAGGAGTAACATACCTCATAAGAGCACTGAGAGGCTGCACCCAGAGTATGAACACTACCTACCACATGGTCACCTCAATAATAATGGTAGTGCCCGGCCGGCGTGGCTCAGTGGTTGAATGTCAATCTATGAACCAGGAGGTCACGGTTTTGATTCCCAGTCAAGGCATATGCCTGGGTTGTGGGCTTGATCCCCAGTGTGGGGCATGCAGGAGGCAGCTGGTCAATGATTCTCTTATCATTGATGTTTTTTTATTTTATTTTATTGATTTTTTATAGAGAGGAAGGAAGAGAGCTAGAAACATCGATGGGAGAGAACCATCAATCAGCTGCCTCCTGCACACCTCCTATTGGGGATGTGCCCGCAACCAAGGTACATGCCCTTGACCGGAATTGAACCTGGGACCTTCCAGTGTGCAGGCCGACGCTCTATCCACTGAGCCAAACTGGTTAGGGCTATCATTGATGTTTCTATCTCTCTCCCTCACCCTTCCTCTCTGAAATCAATAAAAATATATTTAAAAATATTAATGATGGTAGATATTATCATCCTATTACAGATAAGGATATAGTGCATCGGTTCTCAACCTGTGGGTCGCGACCCCTTTGGGGGTCGAACGACCCTTTCACAGGGGTCGCCTAAAACCATTGGAAAACACATATATAATTACATATTGTTTTTGTGATTAATCACTATGCTTTAATTATGTTCAATTTGTAACAATGAAAATACATCCTGCGTATCAGATATTTGCATTACAATTCGTAACAGTAGCAAAATTACAGTTAGGAAGTAGCAACGAAAATAATTTTATGGTTGGGGGTCACCACAACATGAGGAACTGTATTAAAGGGTCGTGGCATTAGGAAGGTTGAGAACCACTGATATAGAAGGTCAAGGTCAAAATCACCTAGCTGTCCAGTGGAACAACTTCAGACCTTGAGTTTTGGGGTTATCTTCCCTAACCCTCATTTCCCTTGTCACTGTCTCCTATTTTCTCTCTTTATGCATCGGTCTCTCCTCTGGATGAGGCTCCTCCGGGGCTGGAGCCTGCATCAGCGTTGTGCCTGGAACAGTACCTGGCCACCAGGAAACGCCGCGCGAAGGAAAGACGCACCCTATCCGCCAGGCAGGCTGCTCTGTGCCTCCACGTGGATCATCGTGTCTGAGCCTCTAGGCCAGTGATGGTGAACCTTTTGAGCTCGGCGTGTCAGCATTTTGAAAAACCCTAACTTAACTCTGGTGCCGTGTCACATTCAGAAATTTTTTGATATTTGCAACCATAGTAAAACAAAGACTTATATTTTTGATATTTATTTTATATATTTAAATGCCATTTAACAAAGAAAAACCAACCAAAAAAATGAGTTCGCGTGTCACCTCTGACACGCGTGTCATAGGTCCGCCATCACTGCCCTAGAGTCTAGACCACTCCTGGTGTGGCTGTCTGTGAAGAGGCCTCCGGAGAAGTCCTCTGAGCAGGTGAGCTCAGTCCAAGGAGAAGCTCTCTGAAGAGATGACGGTGTGTGTGTCTCAGTGATGGAAGGTGTGTATGAGTGAGGAGCAGGCTGCCATTGTTTGGGTACCAAGGGCAGATGGGAGACGCCGCACGGGGACCAGATCAAGCACCCGGAAGCCGGGAGCAGGGTGATGCAGTGAGCTGGGTGCTGGGCTCAGCGGGTGTGCGTGTGACTCTGTGACTGTGACCGTGTGACTGCTGAAGGCAGGGACACAGCCGCTCCCAGAGCTGGGGGTGGGAGGTGTTAACTGTGTGGATGCTGCTGCCGGCGGTGGGCCCTGGGCCTCAAGGCTGGGGGCCGCGGGAGGTAGTAAACACCAGGGTGACCAGGCGGCTGCAGGCTTGTGGGAGTTTGTGTGACTCTGCAGTTCCACAAATTCAAATGCGGCCGATGCCAGCAGTGCCTGCTGTGTGCCAGGCCACCAGCTAGGAGAAGGAGATATGAGCCCCGCTTTCAGCCGAATGGCACTGGCCGTGGGGGGCGTGTGACCGCCTTGTGGCTGGCGTGGGGCTGGGTGCTTTATGCACTGAGCCCTCACCGTCACCCTCTCCCGCTCTGGGGAGCGCAGAAAGGAAATGACTTGCCCAAGGTCACCCAGCAACTCCAGAGCCCGACCCCTCCTCCACCAGGCCTGTGCCGGTGCAAACGTCTGATCCTGGAAAAGCCGTTCAGGGCTCCTGGCCGCGGTCCAGGGGACATCTCCCCAACCACGGGAAACCAGGCTACCCTCACTGTGCCGAGGGGCTGCTGGGTTCTAGCTCTCCCCTTCCAGGGGCCAAATTCCTGGGCAGAGCGGCTGCTGGGCTCCATCCGTGCCTCAGGCCCTCCCAAGTTCCTGCCACCCCCCCTTCCCTCCTGGTGCTGACTCTCCGCCAGAAGAGGAAAGGCTGCTCCACCCACCTCCCATCTCTATAAAGGCCAGAACAGCTGAAAGGGTGGCAACTTCTCCTCCTGCCGCACGCACGCCGGGAGCAGCCCGCCTGCCTCCCCTCAGCCCGCAGCCAACCCCCACGGCCTCCCGAGGGCTCTCCTCCGGCCGCCAGCGCCCATCTTTCATTGCCGAGATACTGATATTTTGCACGCACACACGCAAGAAGGGGGAATAAAAGCGCACGCTCCAGCCTCATTGCAAAGAGAAAGCCGGAGCAGCCGCAGCTTGCAGCCCGTGGAGGACGCCCAGAGTGGCGAGCAGACTGACCGACAGACTCGCCCCACGTCCACCTGTCTGCTGCGGCCGGCCCAGAGCTCAGCGGGCACGCCGCGCGCGGAGCAGCCGTGCCCGCCGCCCCGGGCCGCCAGCCAGGGCGCGCACGCTCCGGCCCCCCCCACCCCCACCCCCACCCCCCAGGCGGCCCAGGAGGGAGTTTGCACCTCTCGCTGCCTGGGTACTCGGGCCGCCGCTGCAAAGCCAACTTTGGAAAAAGTTTTCGGGGGGGAGACTTTGGCGTTGAGGTGCCCGGCTCTAGCTTTCCGACTTCGGGACCCTTCCCAGAAAATGTTGCAAAAAAGCTAAGCCAGCGGGCAGAGGAAGACGCCGTTAACCCGCAGCGAGAGAAGAGAGAAGACGAGCCATCGACCGCCGCCTTCTTTTTCCTCTTGGAGGTTGGAGTCCCCTAGGCGCCCCCACACGGCTAGACACCTCGGCTGGTTCGCGACGCAGCCCCCCGGCCGTGGATGCTCGCTCGGGCTCGGGATCCGCCCAGGTAGTGGCCTCGGACCCTGGTCTCGCGCCCAGGCCCTCCCCAGTCCCCCAACAACGGAGCCGTGGGCGGGGGCGGTGGCACCCGGGGGCATGCGG